CTGAACAGACAAACAAACCAGACAAAAATCAGTTTGTGAAGTTTAGAACTAGGAAACATCAGGGAGAAGTTTGGAAGGGAAACCTGCTTGGTAACCACATATTTACAGTGATTGTCCTGCTCTGCACTGGTGAGACCTCACCTTGAGTATTGTGTGCAGTTCTGGGCACCACAATACAAGAAAGACATTAAGCTATCAGAGAGGGTCCAAAGGAGGCAATGAAGATGGCACAGGGCCTTGAGGGGAAGCCATATGAGGAGCAGCTGAGATTACTTGATCTGTTCAGCCTGGAGAAGAAACTGAGGAAAAACCTCATTACTCTATACAACTTCCTCATGAGGGGAAGTGGAGGAGCAGCACTGATCTCTCTCTGTGACCAGTGGAAGGACCTGAGGGAATGGTCTGAAGTTGTGTCAGGGGAGGTTGAGGTTAGATATTAGAAAAAAGTTCTTCACTCAGAGGGTGATTGGGCACTGGAACAGCTCCTCAGGGCTGTGGTCACAGCACCAAGCCCAATAGAGTGCAAAAGCATTTGGACAATGCTCTAAGGTAGATGATGTGATTCTTGGGGATGTCCTGCACAGAGCCAGGAGCTGATCCTCTGAATATTCTGTGATTTCAACTCAGGGTGTTTTTCTACCCGAGAGGGGTAGTTATGTAGAGCCTGCAACTCCAGCATCACAACAGATGGGATTGAAAAATCAGCCCAGTGAAAGGGACACAAAAGCAAAGAAATTCCTCTGAAAAATGTTTTTACTTGATTGCATTTATGTATGGTGATGAAAACATCTCATCTATGGCTTCAGCGACGTGGGCCATCTTGACCATTTCAGGGCCTTTCTTCTGCCTGGCAACCTCGCAGATCTCCGTGGCCCTTCTGCAGATATCGAGGCAGCGCCTTGCGTCACCCGATAGCGCTGCCACCTGAAAGCAAACACAACAGCTTTGGAGCAGCATTTCCTACGAGGTGAGAAAAGAGTCTAGCAGGAATCATTAGACAAACCAAGCCCAAACACTCTGACTGCCCAACAGGAGAGCAATGCTACTCAGAACTGCTACAATCCAGATTCTAAACAACAGTCTTCTTGACCAAACCCAACAGAAGCAGCACTCCCACACCCTCACTCTGATCTGCTCATCACATCTGCTTTTCTATAGCTACAGAAGTCAGAGGTTAAAAAAAAAATAAAAATAAAAAAGGTGAGCAATTCAGTTCAACATCAAAAGCTTTCAGAACTATCAATTTACTTATCAGCTAAGACTCTTACCACAATCCGGGTTCATGCAGATAAAAGGAGGTGGGGGGCATGACACCAAAAAACTCCTCAGTTTTTCCATACTCATCATCATACTGATTTTAAGAGTACCATAATAACTTTAGTAGATCTCAAAGAAATATCTGGGATAGCAAATTTACACATACAAATGTCTGAAATTCCTGAAACGAAATACTTCTTAAAACCCCAGTTGTGCTTTACAGTTTTAATAAAGCTATGAACACTCACTAGATGTAGTACTGGCCTAGTTTTCCCAGTGAATACTGGTAACATATGAACGCCCTAGAACCCAGCTGGAGCCAAGAATGAGAAACTCTTTAGAAAAATCTAATTGCAAGTTATATTGCTGGGTTTTTTTCTGAAGAAAAATTGTACTAGAAAAACACTGCAATTCTTCAGGCTGCAAAATCATCACTATTATTCTTACAAAAAGGTGCTTCCTTTGTAACAGAACAAGTGCTTATATTTACCTCTGACATAATTTATGAGCACATTTTTTAAATCCTAAAATGATGCAGAATGTCCTGACTTAATTTTTACAGATTAATTTAACATATAGTTGCTAATTTAACACATTAACAATGCACACAACTCAATTTGAGAAGCTACCAATCCCCAATGCTATTTTGGTACAACTGAGTATTAAGACTTGCAACAGAACAGGTACTATCTGTTATGGCAAGGCATTAAACATCTTGAGAAAGAAAATTAATATGGATGTTTCCACTGCCACTGACATACTATTTTTTCCAAGATCATCCATCCCATGACTCACATTATGCCAAACACTGGAGAAAGATGACATCTTATCATTATGCATTATCACGACTCTTGCTGTCATGCCTCCAGCTCTTGGAATATACTGCTGCCTTCTCAAAGTAGGTGGAAAAAACAAGGACACTGCTTTAGCAATGTTTTCTGAGAAAATACCCTGAATAATGTATGATCTGCTACTTGTGCCCCACTTGTCTGCAATACAGAACACAACCACAGCACCAAGTCTGACTACTGTTACAAAACTCTCCCTGCTGTACCCCACACTCTGTACCTACTGCAACATGAAGGACTTGTACCTGCACTGTGCTTACCTTTCTGGAAACCAGCTGGATTGCATCCTCATCAAATGCCTTCACACCATTCAGTCTGGATGAAATAATTTGTTGTAACTGTTTGTAGGTGTAGGGCTGAAAGGACATTCTGGTGAGGCCCTATAATAAATGACAGCACAGTGAGAAGCGTTTCATAGAATCATAGAATCAATCAGGTTGGAAAAGACCTCCAAAATCATAAAGTCCAACTGTACTGTGGTTACTAGACCATGGCACTAAGTGCCACATCCAGTCTCATCTTGAAAACCTCCAGGGATGGTGAATCCAACACCTCCCTGGGCAGCCCATTCCAATGCCTGATCACTCTCTTTGTAAAAAAATCTCTTCCTAATATCCAACCTACACCTCCCCTGGCAGAGCTTGAGTCTGTGCTCTCTTGTCCTCTTGCCTGGGAGAAGAGACCAACCCCCACCTGACTCCAACCTCCTTTCAGGGAGTTGTAGAGGGTGATAAGGTCTCCCCTGAGCCTCCTCTTCTCCAGGCTGAACAATCCCAGCTCCCTCAGCCTCTTCTCATGGCACTTGTGCTCAAGTCCCTTCACCAGCATTTGTAGTGCTTGAAAACTCAACTGTTTGAGCACAGCCTGTATGGTTAGTTTTACTTTCTCTGGTAGGAACAATCAGTCTTTCACATCCTTTCCCTCTGAGTGATATGCTTTAATCAATCACATTTGTGAAATAAACATGCTAATGCACAAAACTCTGATTCAGTGAGGACCACTGGTTTGATCTGCCCATGTAAATGCCTGAGGAAAAAGCACAGCTGCTATGAGAATTTACAAAACTTTTAAACAAACCAGAGCCCCCGGTAAAAAAAAATATTTTGATTATAGTTATTTACACATTGATTTTTAATACAATAACAGCAGCAATTGTGAAAAAATATTCCTCTTTTCTTTAACAAACCTGTATATGTGTATGGAATCAAACTATTGACTTCATGTGAGCAATCAGCCAAGAATTAAAAGTCCTTATTAGCTTAAGCCAGAAGAGAACTCTTTCAGACAAGGACAGTCTCTATGATACAGATGGTGCATTGCCTTTCAGATTCTGCAGGAGACCTGAGTTTTATATTTCTTATGCAAAATTCCTCTCTTGTGACTATATGGACTCAGCTGATCTGAAGGGGGTTTAGTGGGTGGGGGAAAGTAATTCACACACTGTGGAGCTATTTTTGAGTCACAGGAGGATGGAGGCACAGAGCACTGTTTTTGCAAATCTTTTTTCACAGCCATGATGAGATGACCTAGGAACATTTATTCTGTACAAGTACAGAGTGCATCCAACTTTCTTCCTTTGTTGGGTACCTTCAGACAATCTACCAGCTGATGAAGGCAAACAAGGAAGTAACTAGGTGCCTAGAATGAAAGGGGAAAGAAGAAGGGAAACCAGAAGAGAATTCTTCTGAACTCTATAGTAATCAGCTTAACCACAAAGCACAGCATTTGATTATCCAGATCTTAATACATTTAAAAAGACATCTGTATTCTTAATTCATTCTTATAAGAACATAGGGTACTTAGACAGCATAACATCTGATTAGCACACAGGCCTCTAAATTTACTTTGCTAAGATTTATGTATTCATTATCAACCTTCTGGAGAGGGAGTTATAAAAGCATTGTTTTACCTCTGATATAAACAATCCTGCCTTTCTCCTGGATCACTTTTGATGACATTCAGTATTAAACCTGTTCTCATTTTAGAGCATAGCAACCAAACTGCTAGGACATACCAGCCTGCTAGCTACTCTGTTCATCATTATTCTCTCTGGCAAGTCCATGGTGTTAGCAATGGCCAAGATGATCAACTTGGAGTGTTTCTGGGTTGGCCAGTCAAACAGGTTGTACATCACGTTCTGTTTCCGGGTCCACAGAAGATCAAGCTGCAGAGACAAAAAGAATCAGACTGCAGAAGAATGGCCTCTTATTTACAATACCTGATAGGAGCTGAGAGAACAGTCTCTGCCACAGAAGATTTCTCACATGACTCTGAACAAATTGTCTGTTGTGTTTCCTTTATCCATCTACTAATCACACTGCTTTTTCTGCATTAAGGCTCTGTTTTGGAAAAGTACAGCCCTACTAGATGCTTGAACAGTATTAACCACAGCGGAGGTATTAACAGGTGGAGTTTTTAAACACTACTGTGACACAAATACTACATCTAGTAAGACTCAAAGACCCTCCATGTGTGAGCCTAAATTAGCTCACAGCAAAAGTAAGGGTGTTTATTACTGTACACAGCACATTCAAGGTGTTTCAAAACTAGATATGACTTATTTCTGTTAGTTTTCCCACTGGAAAAACAGCAGCTTCCAGACAAAATACAGTTCAATTCTATGGCATCTAGAACTTGACAGAACAACTCATTCCATGTTTTGGACCAAACCAAAATGTAAACCCAGCATGAAATCCAAGGCAGTGAACAATATGGCAACGGGATATTCACTCATTTAAATTCAGTTTCCTAATAAGACTAAGAAGAACTATTTGCATGTCCTCTCTTCTAAATGTGTTCCTTTTAGACCACATATGATATACTCAAAGCATGTACAGTTTGTCTTTTTCTCCATCCTCCAAAAACTCCTTTCTTACAATACTTCAAGGAGAGAAAAAGGATTCTTTGACTCACCTCATCCACTAGCAGCACTGTGGTCTTCCTCTTTACTCCGGGTGTACTGAACAGTTTTGCCAACAGTACTGCAGCATGGGTTGCTGTTACCTTCTGACCTGTCAGTAACTGGACAAGGATTAAACAGTGCTGCAGGTTAATCACACCAAAACCTTACAAATTGGAAGTTTAAATCCTATTCTGTTTTACCTTTCTCTAACAACCAAACATATGGATTATTTTTCCATGAGGTGGTAGGAGGAGTAAAAAAAGAAAAAACGGCTCTTAAGACACTCAGATCTACCAAGAGAACAGAAACAAAACAATACATAGCTAAAAAGAAAGACCAATAGAACTTTCTCCAATTTGTCTTAAATATAGAGTCATTAAGAAATCCTGAACCCAGTTCCAGAGGACTCTAAACCTCGAGGGTGTCTCTGAACACAAACACCTACTGAAAACCCAAGTCAGGTGACAAGAATAGCCTGGTTTAGTAATCCTGGACTCCCATTTAAATATGAATGAATCATCAGCAGGATCTAGAACTAAATAATTTATTCAACTCTAAGCTAAAAGGTATCTTCAGTAAGAACTGCTTCTGCAATAATCTATGTGGCAGAACAGATGAGCTGACTGCACATTGCCTCTTCCCTTGAAGGTCCAAAGATATACAGAAATTAAAGCATCACATTTCAAAACTACACTATGTATGCTCAATCAATTGTTCAACATAATTCAAAGACAAGCTGCAAAGCAAAATAGAGGTTGCATTTGAAAATTGTATCTTTCCCAGAATCCCTTAAAAATGGACCTGAGATTTCATAATTGCTAAACAAGCCAGAGCACAGCAATAATGTATAATCTACACTTGTTCCATGGTTCCAATACAGTCAGGACTGTCTGAGTGAGTCACGCAAAGCAGTTGGATTCCAGAGAATCCTGACTCTGCAGCTCTGGGGCTAGGTATACAATGTAACAGAGAGTTCAGCTTGTTGTGGTAGAACTAGACACTTACTGTACTCAGATATTTAACCTTATCTCTTTCATCTGTCCAGGGTTTCCTGTCCCTACCTTCTCCGTGAATTTCCATAACAATGTAACTGCAGTAAGGAACACTCCAGAATTTGCTTCAGTCATGCAAAGAAAGCTCAGCAAACTGGAGCTCAAAACTGACCCACAGCAAGAGATGCAGTAAAAGCAGCAGCAGCAGCCTAGCTCTTAGCTAGGGCACTTGGATAACAGCTGAGGCAGAAGGAATCAGAGCACTAAGTGGTTCATATGACTGTGTGCTCCTCTGAAGGATATTTAATTGGGCTAGCTTAAGAGTTTGGGACCCAGGTAGGGGCAGGAGAGAAACACATTTTACTTCCAAAGGCCTATTCCTTATTAATTTTAAAATTTTGTGCTGAATGGGATAGGAACAAAGAGTGTTAAGAAACATTAACACTACCATGAAATAAGGTAATTGTCAGGAAGTCTTTTACTATGCTAAAGAAACACAGTGACCTGGGCTCAGCAAAGCCCTCAGCAAGACACAAGGTGTCATGAGGAAAGGCTACAAGTATGTAGATTTAACTCCCAGCTACGAGCAGAGGGATATTAGAACACTCTATGCCACTGCCTGCTCAGCTAGAAAATGTCAAACATAAATAAATGGAGCAGAAGTTTATAAGAAAATGGAATAGATGCTTCACAAAACCATTTCATTTCTAGGTCACTAGCTTAAAGTCGGCCTGGACTGCAAAGTTCTTGAGCAGTTACTGTCTAATGTCTATTGGGTGATCTTAATCCTCAGAAGGTTAATTCACACCCACATAAACGCAAGCACAGCCAGTATTCCCAGATGGAACTGCAGACTAGTTTGTCACGGAAATCTGAAATACACTACTGTGGACAGAGACAGCCTCTCTTCAGCTGAATTGCTACGATGACAGACCAATTAACCATTAAGACCCCCTTAATAATTATTATGCTGCTACACTGACTGTCAGAGCTGTTACCTCAGCAGCTGTTTAGGCATACTGGTGAAGAAAAAGTTACAGAAGGGGCAAATATAAAAAGAACTTGGAAGTACTGATAAGTACCTGGAATACTGTAGCACACTGAGGATCTGACAGTAAAGCATAAGATCGCTTCTTTCAAACCAGACAGCAGCTGAAAAGGCTTCACTTACCTCTAGTACCTGCACATAAGCTTGCTGAGGGTCTGTCAGCTTCATGCCATTGATCTCTGCAAACTGGAATGATGGTAGTTCATCATTTTCTGCAGCTTTCTGAAGGCAGGAAATTACTTCATGAACAGTTGCAGTTTTTCCTGTTCCAGGCACCCCAGAAATGTACATGCACCTACAAAAGCAGAACCCCTTTCAGCAGCCTGAGCAAAATGACAACTCTCTTGGGATTAATGAGCTGGAATTCCTGGCCTCTGACACCTTACTTGAATACTACTCCTGGCACTTCAGGCAACTCCCTCTATTTCAGTTACTTTATTTGCAAATTGGGACACATAACACACTGGAGGATAAGGAAGATTTTTATTATTACTGAAGCAATTAACAACCTAAAATACTTTATAAAAGTAATTTATCTCTTTTAAAAAAAATGGTTTCCCAGACATCTAAAATGGACTAGTTATATTACAGTCTGTATATCTGGATCTGTACAATAAAGAAGCCCAGATTATTTCTATGCACAGCCCATCTTATGGAAGACAGATAGCAGGAGAATTCGACTAGGCACTTTAAACTATAACTTCTGAAATAAAAGTAGTGTTCATTGTCTGACTGCTGTTATGCTATAGGTAGATGTGATCTCAGTTACTCACCCTCCTGTACCATCAATAAGTTTGCTTTCCACAAAGTTATAGATATCCTGGAATTCTTCCTCACGACAAGGCAGAGATTCTGGGACAGCAGAAACATGCAGCCTTTTGATTGAAGAGGGAAAAGAAAATGAAAATCACAGTTCTCCCTGAAAGGCCTACTGAGGAAAACAAACAGCCTGACCTCTACCTTCCACACCTGTGTGGTGTGTCAAATCCCTCTTACATACTTCTCAGGTTGAACATCAGTGTCAAGTATTCCAGAAGAAACAGCCTAGTCTGTCTCTATAGACTGTGTTTATAGGAAACAGAACTAAAACTCAGTTTGAAAGATACAGAAGTCCTGAATACCTCTTTTCCCCACTGTGAAGATCTACAATGATACCTGTAAAGCTTTCTCACATGCCAAGAAGAGACAAATATCATACCTTTATAATCTGAAGCTAATAAAGAGATGATCTTTGTTTTTCTAATGCTGCACAGAATAAAGATATATACCTAATTCTTCTGAAGAACTCAGCAAGGACTGGCTAAAATAATTTGAAACTGTGAAGGTAGTATTGTAAATCCTACTAGTATCTGTAAATCTAGCACTGCATTGTATATGAATAACTGCTCTTCTAGTACCCAAACACCATCTATTTTTACCAATTTTATTCAATATGGCAAAGATGACTTTTCCTATTTGATCTTAATTTGCTCTTTAAGGTCCGTTCAAACCCCTTAACATTCTATTATTCTATTTCAGCACAGCCTACTGCTGTGCACACTTGATGCAAACAAAGCTGATTTCCTCCCCTGAGCACAGCTTACCTCAATCTGGCTTCTTCCAGCACACTGGTTGGTTTCTGTGTGGCATGGCTGCGCTGGGGAATTTCAGGAGTTGCGTTCCGGGGTGTCTTGGGCGTCCCTGGTAAAGGCTGCAAAGAAAAATTACATCAGATTTTCTACACACAGCAGTTTCTGTGGGAGACCAATCATCCACACAAGTTTCTCAAACATGACTTATGCACAAGCTACCCAGGGATGCCAGAGTACAAGATGAGCGGTCTTTACAAAGGGAAATACCAGACAAGCCTCATGGTCTTTTCCTTCTGAGGGAAAAAGGAAACTGCAAAGGGGGTGGTGGCAAAGAAAATGACACCTTTTAAACGTCAGAAGAATTTTTAAGTTGTTAATGCTTTTCTGAAGTGGTGTGTTGAGGTGAAACTGATCTATCTGAATTTCATTGTCCAAACAAAAGCCATACAATAGCTTAATTATTCTTTTTTGTTGTGTTTATAAGTTCTAGTTTCACTAGGTTTCCTGTGTTAGACATTTCATAAACAGAGTCAAAATGAGCCATTAAGAGCATGCACCTAGCTAAGGGGGTGAATACAGCCCTAATGAATCATGGCTAAGATTCATGTACAGCCTGGGATCCCACCTCCATCAGCAGCCACAAGACTATGAGAAACTCCTGGCTACAGTCTTTGATGAGGCCACAAATGCTGTACAGCATCCAAACCAGTATTTTCCCCGTTTAGGCTAAGGTTTTCTGATCAACGTTGTCACAACATTCACAGCACACGAGTGGTTTGCATAACTTTCTCATATCAACAGTCATATGAATCCAGACAATGCTGCATCAAAAAAGCTAAGGGGTTCAGATATTTAGTTGTGGTACACAGGCATGAAGCATTCGAGTAACTAGCTCAGAAGTAATACAACCAGCTTATTTATATGGAACCTTACAGTTTCCTTCGGGGTCTTTGAAGGAGTGTGAACTGAAGACTGGCTCAAAGATTTTTGGGTGCTGCATGTTCTGCTTTGTTTACTTCTTGTTTTCGGTACATAGGTCACATCATCTTCGTCATCCTCATCATCCTCATCATCTTCATCATCCTCATAATCTTCATCATCCTCATCATCCTCATCATCTTCATCATCCTCATCATCTTCATCATCCTCATCATCTTCATCATCCTCATCATCTTCATCATCCTCATCATCTTCATCATCCTCATCATCTTCATCATCCTCATCATCTTCATCATCCTCATCATCTTCATCATCCTCATCATCTTCATCATCCTCATCATCTTCATCATCCTCATCATCTTCATCATCCTCATCATCTTCATCATCCTCATCATCTTCATCATCCTCATCATCTTCATCATCCTCATCATCTTCATCATCCTCATCATCTTCATCATCCTCATCATCTTCATCATCCTCATCATCTTCATCATCCTCATCATCTTCATCATCCTCATCATCTTCATCATCCTCATCATCTTCATCATCCTCATCATCTTCATCATCCTCATCATCTTCATCATCCTCATCATCTTCATCATCCTCATCATCTTCATCATCCTCATCATCTTCATCATCCTCATCATCTTCATCATCCTCATCATCTTCATCATCCTCATCATCTTCATCATCCTCATCATCTTCATCATCCTCATCATCTTCATCATCCTCATCATCTTCATCATCCTCATCATCTTCATCATCCTCATCATCTTCATCATCCTCATCATCTTCATCATCCTCATCATCCTCATCATCTTCATCATCCTCATCATCCTCATCATCTTCATCATCCTCATCATCCTCATCATCTTCATCATCCTCATCATCCTCATCATCTTCATCATCCTCATCATCCTCATCATCTTCATCATCCTCATCATCCTCATCATCTTCATCCTCACTACTTGAAGAACTGTCTGAGTTGAACAGAAAATCTTCCTCGTTCAACACCCTGTAAGAAACAGTAATTACTTGAGTTTCAAAAAAAAAACTAACTACACAGCACAAAGCATCATTTGTACATTTTCAGTTTTGTCTGTAGTTCTCATCATCAGGAAGCCAACATGTTTTCCACTTGAGCTGTTCATTTTCCTTGGCTATTTATCACACTGGTTTAAAGTCAGTTTTCTGAAGAACACCATGAGTCAGCTCTAGGTTTCTGAACGTACAGTTTTCACTCACACTGCAGTTCAGCTGTGCTTCTAGAACCATCTGCATTTAAATATTAAGCCAGACAAACTCTCAAAGCTTCAAGGCATCAACAGCAACCTGCGTTAAGAGATCATGGATGCAGAAGTTTACCTGATTTGCTGTGCCATGAGAGCACTTGTTCTCTGTGCACAGGCTCTGCGAGAGCGAGGGGTCAGCTCAGGGCCACGTCTCGGTCTCCGACTTCTAGCTAAACTGTAAAGAAAGAACACAAAGCTAGTTTACTTCCTCTGTGCATCACACTTGTAGAGACAGAGAAGGCCTTTCAAACTTCAGGCTCAGTTGCTATGGCTGTCAATTCAGCATGAATTCTTAGCTGGTTATCTGCAGACTGGCTATGGCAGGGATACTGGCAGCATCATTTCCCCCTCTTGTACTGTCTCTTCAATGTATCTTTGTCAAGAAAAAAAAACAAACCCAAAATATTTGCTATATTTTGCAAATGCAGCACTGCCAAACTGGGATCAAAACAATTGTGTTTTTGTTTGGCTGAGGGATGGGTTTTTGGAGGGGTTGTCTGGCTTGTTTTTAAGAGAATGAGAAGACAAATATAATTTCCTTTGGGCATCTCTTTGATCTGCCCTTTGGAAGGGATTTTCCTCTTTGTGTTTTGATATTCCTTAGTTGTCTTCTTGGGTGCTTCTTCATCTCTGCCACTGAAACATTTCACTGTTAGTACAGCTTTGCTACTAGTTCAAAGGACACAATGAGATGAATTACAGATGCTTTAATTATCTGTGGACAGTCCTTGGAACCTTTTTTAGATCTATAAGTACTGCTGAAAGGTAAAGGTTTTTATGCTATATAAAAAGTTTAAAAAAAGAAGCACAAATTCCAAGAGTTGTATCCACATCTTTACTCTTGGAAAGGAGGAAAATAATTACATTCCTTGCAACATTTTGTACAAGAAAGTCTGATCCATTTCTCCTCCTGCCCCAGCTTAATGCCATTTATACAGATTATATGAAATATACTGGAATAGTTATTCTTTTGGAGTTTTGATTTCTTTTCTGCATAAAAATTAGCATGAAAGTACACAAAATTCTTATGAGAACTCTCATGAGGCCAATCAAACCCCACTTCAGGGTACCTCAACAGTTGCCACAAGCAGGGCACATCTGAGCCTCCATGAGAGCAGGGAAACAGATTTTCATCCACGTTGATGAGTACAATCATCACAAGAACAATGATCAACCTGGCTTCAATTTTCTTTCATATCATCCTACCATTCCCATTCCCAACATCACTCTGCTCTTGGTGCCATGAACTGCTTGTGTCTATCTTTGAACTCAGCTCTTCGTGAACTCCCAAATCATTCTTTCACCTCCAAGTAATGTGTGTTCTACAGCTTCACCACAGTGCACCTGTCACTGTTTAGGCTCTCCCCTTCCTGTGTTCTCAACAGGCAAAACATGGTACACACAGATGTCACCTTGTAGCAGGATGGAATGGGATAAACTGACTTGAACAATGCCCTATCTACAAAGCTAGCAGTGGTAAATGGTGAAGTGGGCATCATGCTGCTTTTGATGTTTAATAACGCTGAAACTAGTCTGACTCATCCATCCCAAAGTTAAACATCCTGAGAATGAGATGAAAATATGGCAAACCTGGTAAAGGAATAAACAAACAATACTACTACTAACTTATCTAAAGCTGCTGAGCTGACACAGCTGCCCTGGAGACAGGTGACTGACAGTCAATCACCTTACACGATAAAAGCCCAGTCCCAAATTTTAATGGAAGAGTCTTCTAACATACCTTCTCTTGGAGTCTTATGTGTGAAGATTCCTGCCTTGAATGGGCATGCCCCTCAAGGTTACTCCTCGAGGCTGAGCCAAAGAGATTTGCCCACGGTCATTGGTATTTCTACTTCATAATTGTTTTTCTAGTTTTAATACAATTGCTTTAGAGTGCACTATATTTTAATAGTCCTTATAGCTCCCATACTGTGCAGCAAATAACTGATTAAAACAATTTTTTCTAATCATTCTCATAATAAATAATATATATTTATATAAATGCATCTGGTTTGCCACCTTTAATCCCTGCAGGACAAAGTTGTATGAAGGTTCAGCTACACCTGCATAATCCCTTAGACATCAACCACTGTGCTGGTTTGAAAGCAAACCAGTGAGAGACTCCAAGCCAGAAATACAATTTAATAGGGAAAACAAAAAAAACCCCAATTGCAACAGTACGAAAAGAAACCACTGCAGAGCCAGAAAGCAACCTGACACCCTGTCAAGTCAGGGTATTGGTACTAGTCCAATAAACTGGTGGCTGCAGTCCTCCTGGAGTGATGGCTCTGTTGGAGCAGTGATCCTGTAGATCTGGTCTTCACCTGAAGGTCCAGTGGTAGCTCTTGTCCTCTGGGAATTCAGTAGGTAAGGGGTCCCTGTGCTGGCCCAAACCCCAGATTATATCCCTGTGGGAATGCCTGGCTCCTCTCATGGGGTGAAGCATCTCCCAATGGGACAATGTCATTCTATAGGTCATGAGGTGGGTCCTTGACAGCCCATTAAACAGAGACAGCCCTCGAGGGAGTTAGCAGGGATGAGTCATGGTAGGACATAACAAGCACTGCCCCACCTGCTTTAACAGCTTGTGAAGATGATAATAGAATACACACTATTGGTTACACTCTACATTGTAGCCTAGGCCAGCCACTGACAAAACCTGAGGCCAAGACTGGCTCCAGCTGCACCAGACTCCTCTCTGAAAAGCAGTTTAGAAAGCAAAGGGGTCCTTTCTGCACCTCGTGAGCTTCTCTAACCAAGTCTGAAGCTCCCACTCTGCCCACGAGATACCTACTTTTCTCTCCACAAGTCTTTCACAGATGTGCTTTAAGAGAACTACAAACAGAAAACCCATAAAAAAAACCAATGACAAAAATGCTATCACTCACAGTGTAGTGTCATCTGCCACGTGAAGGTTCTTGGCTTTCTCACTGCAGTCCTTGATCTTGGTGTATGGGCACAGTCGTAAGGTGTCACTGAGCTTCTCCCAGTCTTCTGCTGCATCAGGTGTTGACTCTGCCCTATCCTTGCCGCAATGCTTTTTTGGTGGTGACCCTAAAATTTCATTTGTGAATTTCACTTTTCTTTTAGTAGCTGATAGTTCTAATGGTGCTATGGCCTCACAGTCATCATCCAGAAGGTCCAAAACTTCCGATTCCCGGAGCCTGCCTTTAGACTTTGTAGGGCCTGGAAATCAAGAGTAAAATGAACTTTTGTCAGGCTTCAATAGGGTTGGTTTGGTTACCTTTCAGAAGACATGGTACAACTGCCTCAGTGGCTGTCATTGAAATGAAAGGAGATGACATTACGCACCAGGAACAAGGAGCTGAGTCACTACAAGACATGCACTTCGTCTAAAAACACCACTAAATAGATGACAAATGAATTTCTTCAGTTTGCCAACCCACCTCCATCACTTACAACTTTACTCAGGTTCCATGCTGAAAAGACTGCATGTTACATAGGATCAAATGTGCTTATTCAACCAACTCAATATAAACATTTTAGTGCATGATTAGCCAGAAGATGAAAGAACGTGGGACATTCTGAGGTCAAGTTAGGCTGACTGGTAGCATTTCAGTCAACAAGCACTTTATATAGATTTATCAGTTACAAATGAAACATTTGCTATTGGATATAAGCAGTAGAGCTGCTCAGAATAACAGATAAAAACAACTGATGCACCCAAAAGACTTGGGCTGATCCCACAGCCTACAAGGTAGCTAAAAATACTGGATGTTCAATGTTCCCATTGTTTGAAGAGGCACAAAACATATGACACTGCCATATACATACTGTTCAACTCTAACTTCTTCCTTGCTGTTTGGGTTTTGATGCCGTTAGCCATAGCCACTCTTTGGGAATGCCTGTCCTTAGAGACAGAGGACTTGGAAGCAGAATGTTTGGATTCTATTTCCAACTCAGCACTTTTTGGTTTTGTGGCACTCCGAACACTGTGTGTCTGTTTTGTCGGGGGTGTGAGGGTGTCCAAAGTAACAAATGGCCTGGAAGGGTCTGGGATGTAGCCTCTTTTCTTGCTAGCTTCCTTCAGCTTAGAGAACGTGCTTGGGGACAAAGCTTTAAAGCATTTCCCATCCCAAGACTCTTTCACAAAGAAAGTTTCTTCCTTGTTTAATGTAATAGGCAGTTCCTCCTTCAGATGTAGTGGTATTACCTGCAAAAAACAGAAAATACCAAAACACACATAGTTTTACATTTACTGTTCACTTAGCATTCAGCTATTTTCTGTTCACAGATCTCATGACTACAACTTAACTCATGGAATCCTTAATTCATACAGACCAACACCTTCAACCTACATTCCCATCAGCACAAGTTTATTGCACTACAGGACTGTTGCTGTTTCTCTCTGCAGTACATACCATAATGCGTTTAATAATGGTCTCTGCAGATATGTCGGTGTCATAGGAAAGAATTTGATCAAAAAACACCTCTTGGGGAGAAATCTGTCTTTTAAGCAGTTTCATTTTGTGCCGAGGTATCTCTCCAACCCGACAGAACCACTGCACAACTGCGCGTTTGACCTGAGCACCTGTAATGAGAAAGTCAGTGAACATGAACAATTTTTTTGTGTGACAAATTGTTAGTACCAGAGCTTAATGGCTTTAGCTGAAATGCCATCAAAGAAATCCTCCCCGGACATGGGTGAGGAAACATCTGATAAGGAACTGCGATTCCCATTTTCTAAGGTAAATTCAAATATTTGAGTTGAGATTTTAAGGACTAATGTAACACCTACATAGGGTCCCAGTCACAAAATGCCTGGAGACCAGCTTCAGACCACCAGTTCACTGTCACAAACAAACAGGTCCCTTATTCACATCCAAGTGATCTCCTCAAATGCCACTAAAAGCAGTAGTAGAAAAGAACTGAGAAATTTTAGATCATTATTTGTAGTGACAATGTGATTTTAGCAGCCAGAAACAATTTTTCACTGCCTAACAAACCAGAAACTTGTCAGAGATATACAACATCAGGATAATCTTGTTTTCAAGGAAGTTTTAGGGGATTCATTTCAGCATGAAAAGACTATTCAGTTACGTTACAATGAATGTTCATCAGTAAATAAAATACGTTGGAGTGATATATATTTATGTTTTTTAAAACAAAAACGTGGTGATGGCAAAAACAAAGAACAAAAGCTGTTCAAAACACCAGACATAGCCAACGAGTAGTTCCCAATTCAGACCCAGGTATAGTCTTTGCATCATCCACCTCCCAAGATTTCTCTTTTCATGCCCATCTCTGTGTATAAACAAGTAGTTCCACAAGGGACAGAAGTGATGAGCCCCACTTATTCAGCCTTGCAGCTTATTGTTGAATTGCCTGATGTCTAATAAGATGCAAGTTCCAGGGCTGCAGTGCTCTGGCTGCATTTGGATTCTCTAATCTCTAAATGAAGCATGAGCGAGCTCACACTGTCTTCCTCAAGGACCACTTCTTTTAAATCAGATTGAATTTACTAAGCAAAAAGACTCTAAAAATATAATACCCTTCAACTTTCTGTTTATGTAACAAATTTGGTTGACAATTGCCACCAGTCCCAAATATATTCAGATACAAAAACTAACAAAGCTTGATTTTCTTAATAAATTAGGCCAGTGACATAGAGTTAATGCTAACTACATTCCCTTGAAAAAGGTAACTTGAAAACATTTTAGGATTTCTCAGATAGCAAGTAAATTTTTATTGCTCTTACCATCTTCATATAAATTCAGGAGCTGTGCCACATAAGGCTGATCTGCATTCTCTCCTTCTATCAAAACAAAGTCCCCAACATGTATACAGGTTTCTGTCCTGCGGCTCCTAGGTGCAATAAAGATCCCCCTAGAAAGGGACACACACAGGCAGATTAACAGAATTCCATGTTCCTCATAATTCCCATATTAATCCTGCCAGTTTTACACTAGTTATGCCCCTTCTTGCAAATCTTACAAGTTAGTTCCCTGATTAGAAGCTTTCTATGCGCTTCAATTGGACAATAACACTTACTCATAAACTTAGTTAAATCTTTCATTCATACATGACACAATTTGCAGTTCAAGAGCTTTGTGACAACATTTTTGTTACAGACATACAGTGCAACGACAAAGTGCTTGTGTGAAGACCTCAACAGCAACCAGCCAGGATCTGAAGGGGCTACAGGGGAGCCAGAGAGGGACTCCTTGTTAGCAGCTGCAGTGATAGAACAAGGGGTAACACGCTTTGGAGTTGATCTGAGGGATTTGCGTGAGGAACTCTCTGGAGATCTGTCTATGCAGGGAGGTAGTAGATGCCCCAACCCTGGCAGTGTTCACAGCCAGCCTGGATGAAGCCTTGAGCAACCTGCTCTGGTGGGAGGTGTCCCTGCCCAGGGCAGGGGGTTGGGGCTGGATAATCTGTAAGGTCCATTCCAACCCCTAAAATTCTATGACTGCCATATTAACCTAAACAGAATCAGAAAGGTAAAGGAACATTCATTGATTAAGCTTCCCTAAGCAAGACAAATAAATATTATTTACTTGTACTGGGAAGTCCTCAGCTTTCTGTCTGACTTCAATGGTTCTCCATACCAGGAGTAGATTCTGGATTCACTTTGCTGACTGGAGTTCATGACTCCCAAGGAAAAGCTGAAACAAAACAACAAACGCCTTTTAAAAGATTATTATTTCAATATAAAGGGAAATACTCAAGATGGAAAGATACAAAGAAATGCCAGAACGTGGTGGTTGATAAGACAAGCTCATCTGCCCAACTGCAGTGACAGGATAAGGGGCCACAGATTCAAACTGAAAGAGGGGAAATTTAGGCAGATATTAGGAAGAAGTTTTTCCCTGTGAGGGTGCTGAGACACTGGCACAGGCTGCCCAGGGAGGCTGTGGCTGCCT